AAACCATTGTCATATTCGGAATCAGCATAGTCGATAACCTATTCTCCACTAGGTTTCAAGAAAAAAGCGAGCGGACACTTGGGACAGTTCCCTCGTGAGTCCGATTCTGTGCCTTTATCTTTCTCATCTCTTTCATCAAAATAATTAATAATGCAGCAGTTTTTATTTTCATACTTATTTACTTTAGTGGAATTATCGACCTTAGACAGTCATTGTCAACAGTACAGGAAATAAAAAATTGTACAAATGATAGTAAAAACCATAACTTAACTACATTTCTTTTTCTGTTCTGTTTGTGCGCATCATCACAAACAGGAACGCAAAGATAAAACTAGAACTTTACATTTCTTTGCTTCTTTGAAAATATAAATTTGTGTTTTAAACTCAAATATAAATTCTGTATTTTCATCAAAAATATCTCAAACTGTGTCACCACCAACATCTGCTATTCTAGAACAAAAATATCAGACTGAATATTCTCCATTTCCAAGTTTTTCACCTGAAAAACTGCAAGAATTAAGTTTTTTTCTCAGGCTAATTCTTTCAGCTCCGTTTCTCATTCTTTGCAACTCAGTTTTGCAGCATGAGTGATCATTCTATTCCTTTTTATTCTATTTTCACATTATTTTATATTGATCGATTTAGAAAAATACTTACATCAACAAAACGTATGAAAAACACTTTTCTAGTAGATCTTCTCGAATGACGAAGATTCGGACGGAGAGAGAAAACACAAACTTTCTCCAAGTTTTTCAGATATTTTTTAATTTTCAACTTTTTTTGTTTTCTTCTCCCTCTGCAACATGTTTATCTCGATCGTTTCAGTGTGGAGGTTGGACATTTTGATGTTTGCAATTATCTGTGCAAAAATGTATAAACCATTATGAAAATGCAATCAATTAAATAAAAGTATAGATAAGAGAAATACCTTCAAACATTTTCTTCTCTTTCTCTTCTATAATCCAAAACAAAATGTAATATCTTTCTGTATTTAGGAAAACTTATCTAAACCAGAACAGGTACAAAGCTAAAGACTATGTACGAGTACAAGAGACCACAGTGACTTTTCATCTACATTCCTGGATAAAAGTCATAAGATCACAAACTATTGCTCACCAATCTAACCTGATCATAGACTATTCGATAGTTTCTCAGCTACAACTGCAGTCAATTTTCTATTATGCATGGAACCTCGCCAGGGTTTGTTGACAACTATGCAACTTTTATCCCGTTGACCGACCCATGCGGCGGCGTACTTAAAGGTTTTACTTACTTTCTCAGCTAAATTCCACCTTGTATAGATGTTTCTTTGCGCATCTAAATGATCTCCACCATCTTCATCAATGTTATCATGTGCACTTGTTGAGATAATTGTTGATGATGATGTAGCTGAGGATGATGCAGCCATTTTTCAAAGAGTTAAAAATTTGGAGAATGAAGGCAGCCAAACTTTTAAATGAAACAAATTTATCGAAATATTTTTCTAATATTCGGATTTAACGAAAATCGGGCCAGTTCTTTTCTTTTATGAAAACACTGAAATTTAGCACCAGAAATTTCTTGCGTAAATCTCTAATTGATATATTTAAAATCTTACACTATCCAGTAAAAATGACGCTCTTAGTTCAAGGTTCGAGGACGAATCTCGTGGGGCAGGGGAGGTCCTTGTAACGGCTGCTTGCCGTTACATATTTTCTTTTCTTTCTCTTAAATAGTTTGAGAAACTTCTTCTATACGCTCTTTGTAAAGAGAGAGTAAAATCAGTTAATAATTGATTTTTATTGTTATTTTATGGTTCATAGTGCCGCGAAATGTGGAGACACATTATCTTCGTGTCAAGATTTCATTAAAAAAATCAGGTTTTCTTCTTCAAAATTCTAAATTTCAATATTTTAAACTTCTTCTTCTCTCATCTTAAGAAGAATTCTCATCATCATCTCCAATTTTCTTCTTCTTCTTTAATCGTACAAAAGAAGAAGAAATTCTAATACTTTAAATTTATAATTCATATAAACTAAATCTTACATTTAATTTATCGTTAACATTCTTTTAAAATTATAAAATATAATTTAGTGTTTCATTTTTTTTTTTTAGTCCATCAATTTCACTACGGAAAACAGAATTCCACGTAGCATTCGTACTCGCAAACTATACTTTGCGTGACTGGGAGAGTGGACGTCTCAGTTGTTCTAAAATCGGAATTCTAAGAAATGTTTACAGCTCAAGAAAATATATAGAATCTTATACCACTATGGCATTAGTTCAGTAAGATCTTTATTTACGTTCAGTGCTTCTGCTAGTGATTTACTTCCTCTTTCGGATATTTTATTATTGCTTCCAATAACTGCATCATATCGTAAGCGCCCAACTCATCTTGAATACTTTAATCAACGTCGACTACAATCACACACAAGGAAAGCGAAAAACTTGAAACAAAAAACAAATTAATGTGACGTACGAATCATTCTACAGGATGGCTACCCCATCTTCTTGCAACCCTTCCAGTTCCCCACTTCCTCTCACCGATATTTCGTTGCTTCCAAGATCAAGTTGAGTGAGAGTGTTGTTTACTTTCAGTGCTTGTGCTAGTGCTTCACCTCCTCTATCGGATATTTCGTTGCTTGCAAGATCAAGTTGAGTGAGAGTGTTGTTTACTTTCAGTGCTTGTGCTAGTGCTTCACCTCCTCTGTCGGACATTTGGTTGTTTCTAAGATCA